AGAGAGAGAGAGAGAGCTTGAAGTCACTAGACTACAGTAACCCATAAACTAGAATTGCTGAATCAGTCATTTTAGACAGGTAACCCATAAACTAGAATTGCTGAATCAGTGATTTTAGTTGGCTTTTTCTCAAACCTAGATAGAATAGGGGGCCAGAAAACAGGGCCAAAAACTCGTACCAGTGATTGACAAGTTGGTGAACTCCAGCATCATTTGAGCAGACATGAGCTTTGGCAAGCTGCCACAACCAGTAAGAGGTTGCATCATCAGGAGGAGTGAGAACTCGCTTCGGTTGAGTTGGAAGAGAGAGCTCAATGGCTATGGGTTTCAGTGTTCCAAGTGCAGAGAGAAAGAAAATAGTACGGGTAGCATATGCTTTCCTCCCATCTTGAGCATTTATCTTGTCCAAGAATGGCATGTAAATGTCATGATAATCCAGAATGAACAATTTGTTTTCATTGAGCGCCTGAAAAAGGATTAACAGAAATTCAAGTTAGCCCACCAACTGAATTTCGAGCTCTAGTTAGCACATGAGAGAGAGCGAGAGAGATAGAGAGAGAGAGAGAGACTCTTCCACATACCTGTTGCACAGTCATCCCATTAAGACTGCCAATAATATGTTCTTCAGTAATGGCAGATTCTGGTGGACCGTAGATGTTGGGATCCAATTTACTAACAAATGGAAACACCTACAAAAGAAAAAGCATGATTTTCTAAGGGAAAAAAAACGAGGACAATAATGTAAAGGGAGAGATGGGCATAAACAAAATGTAAGAGAATTGGGTTGAGAATTTGGTCACTCTAAGGAGTATATTTATGTATCAGTTTGAGTAAGCTAGTAGTGATGGCAATGGTCCTTGTGTGAGATAGAGAGAGGAGTTTCCTTTTTGCCAAGTAGAAAGAGAAGTAGTTTGATCATGCAAATATGGAGTATTTTTGTACTTGTATGGAGTAGGGCACTTTCTGACTTCTTTTACAAACCAGACATGGTTCGATAATTTTCAAGATAATTAGAGGAACTTCATTCACCATTTATGATAAGAAAAAAAGATTACATGGAGTTGGGATCATTACCTCAAGCTTCTCAATATTCACAGGGTTGATTCCCGCCAAAGCTTGGCGTGCAAACTCATCGTCTCGTAACCAAGCGAACTTATCCTCTGATAAATTCCACAAGTAAATGTTTGAACCCAAATTAGAAACATGAAAACAGCAAAATTCTCTCTCTCTCTCCCTGACATAAAGTGGGAGACTTGATGGAGAAATGCTCACTTGAGATAATGGTTGGGGTGTCATATTTTAGTAGGCCCTGGCTAGACTCCTTGATATCATTGACAACTTTGGGGAGGGGAAGCTTCTTTAAGATTTCATCTTGTAAATTGAATTTGAGAAGGCCTTCCCGGTAGAGCCGGTCAATCTCAGAGAAGCCCTTGAACTCAGAGTTGTCACTGGATATGCTGGCATATAGTGCGGGTATTAAGTTATGGAGAACAGCCTTAAGCCTTCCAGCTGAGAATGCGTCCTGTTTTGTTTCCTCGAAAGCTTCATCCCTTGGAACATAAATGGGAAGTGGCTTCTCCACCCGGGTTTCTGCTGAAATATCTGTCCAAAAGTTCCCATAACATGATGTTAGAGAGAGAGAGACTTTTTCACTACCAACTGTTAAAATCTAAGACATGTTAAAATCTACGTTAGATAGAGAGAGAGAGGGAGGTTTAAGTACCACGATGTGAGCCTCA